AAACACAGTGTACAAAGTTGCACGGCCCCGGCTTCAAGCAGTGAGCCACCCTGTGTCCGTGGTTCTTCTATTGTATTTTCCGGCCACTCTCCTTCCCTACCTCCTGCCCCGCCCTCTGCCCCCTCCCCACCTCTTCGTCCTCTTCAAAGGCTTTTCCTTTGATGTCAAAACTATGTCCCTTCTTGTTCTTGTTTAACCCCCAACAATGGTGACATGAGATACTGGTCTTTCTGAAACGGGCTAACTTTCCGGGGCATCGTGTCTTCCAGTTTTTATTTGGTTCATGTCCTGAGGTGCTTGACAGACACTTGTCTTGCTTTCCAAAGATAGCCCATGTGTGTTTCGACCAACATCGATTTATCCATTCCCCCACAGGTGAGGTTTTATAAAAATTGTTTCTATCTTTTTGCTATGACAGAAATGTCTGCGTTAAACGTGGTGTGCGTATATCTCTTTGTGTGTAGTTCTTTGTTTGTTTAGGATACAGACTAAGTAGAGAGATTGCAGGATCATAAGACGTTTGTATTCACATTCACAGGAAAGCGCCGTAGTATTTTTTATCGTGGGTGTGCAGTTCTGCAACCCTGCTGGCAGTGTTTGAGGATTCCACGCTCTGCACATCCTCCCAGCAGTCCTTACTGTGTGTGTGTGTGTGTGTGTGTGTGTTGTTTTAGCTAAGAGGGTCTGTGTGAGGTGGATCTCATCATTGTTTAATTTGTATCTGTTCTATAGCTAATGAATGTGAGTATTTCTTGTTTCATCATTCATTTTTTTTAGTTTATTTTTTTAATCGTTTTATTAGGGGTTCATAACAACTCTTATCACAATCCATACATACATCAATTGTGTAAAGCACACTTGTACATTCATTGCCCTCATCATTCTCAAAATATTTGCTCTCCACTTAAGGCCCTGGCATCAGGTCCTCTTTTTTCCTCTCCCTCATGAGCCCTTGATAATTTATAAATTATTATTTTGTCATATCTTGATTAGTAGAAGTTACTGATAATTGCCTTATTGCCACACATGCCCCCTCCACCCCAGTGCGCATGCTAAAAAGGGGGAAGCGTTTAGTCAGTGGTTTTGCAATGGCAGTAACAACTTCTTTGGTTGACATACCTCTTTGGTTCTTTGTAGAATTAAAAGAACCATAGCCATTATGAAGAAGGTAGCCAATGTCCCTGAACAACTAGTGTTGACATCACTGAATGGGGACCTAGCTGCTATGTCAACCTTCACTGTAACACAACATCAACAACAAAAACCGTGAGATCAAGTCCAGACCAAACTCGCTGGTTGATTCTTTTTTTTTTATTTATCTTAATTTATTAACCATATACCTACTCGAGTATAAGCAGACCCGACTATCAGCCGAGGCACCTAAATTTTACCACAAAAACTGCATTAAAAATGTGCTGAAAACGCAGCTTATACATGAGTATATACACTAATTGTTTTCCATAAAAATTAAATCAAAAGACAAAGAAAGGTCATAACAAACTATACAAATAAAAGCAAATCAACTTAACTTTATAGAAAATTGAGCCCTCCTAGTGTGTGCATACATCTTTATTATGAATAATTATTAATCATTTTATTGGGAACTCGTGAAGACATCCTGACATCATCCCACAGTTCAGTCACATCAAGCAGTATTGTACAATCGCTAACACAATCAGTTTCAGAACATTTTCTTTCATCCTGAACTCCTGGATGTCAGCTCCCCTTTCCCTCTCAAGTTGATTCTGCTCATCAATCACGACCCTACAGTGCAGAGTAGAACTCCCCTGTGAGTTTCTGAGACTTTGCCCCCTTTATGGTAGCAGACAGTCTCATCTTTGTCCTTCGGAGTGGCTGGTGGGTTTGAATCGCTGACCTTGTAACTATCGGCTGAATGTGTGGCCCCCTGCATGCCTAGGGCTCCTTGACGCTGAGATGATGATGGCAAAAATAAAACTAAAGACTTTAGTGCCTCTAAATAGTCATGACATTAATATCAGTTCTCAGCAACAACTAGACTGAAATTGGCAGATCGTTAGGAACCAGAAGGTGACCCACAGGGCCGGCTCGGCGCTGTCCTATAGGGTCCTTTCCTGTAGGGTCCTTTCCTGTAGGGTCCTTTCCTATAGGGTCCTTTCCTGTAGGGTCCTTTCCTGTAGGGTCCTTTCCTGTAGGGTCCTTTCCTATAGGGTCCTTTCCTATAGGGTCCTTTCCTGTAGGGTCCTTTCCTGTAGGGTCCTTTCCTGTAGGGTCCTTATGAGTCAGAATCAACGTGATGGCAGTGAGAAGGACAAAGGGAAAAAAAACCAGACGGTGTCGACGAAGGAACAAAGCAAACAGGTCACACATGTAATCATTCCTGTTGCCTGTTGCTAGAAAGGGAAGGTCTAGCCCTTGACTGACTGAAGCCTGAAGGCAAACGTGGGGAGCCATGAAGACGGAAACTCTCGGGCCTTTTCACTTTCTGGAAAACCAGGCGAGACTTTGTCAGCATTCTGACATCTGAGCATCTAGACCGGACCCCGTGTTTTTCTAGCTCTCATAAACAAGTGCATAATTTCTCCCTGGAAGATTTTTCAATCAGCCCTCTGAGAATCACCCTAAAGGGATGTTTTAATATTATGTGCAAAGTCTTCAAAATTATTTAAAATAGAAGCAAAACGTCTACCATAGTCCCAAGCTTCCACTGTGCTACGCCGGTACTAAGGAGCCCTGGCAGTGTAGAGGGCTATGAATTGAACTGCTAACCCAAGGGCAGTGGTTTGAACCCACTGGGTGCTCCACAGAAGAAAGATGAGGCTGTGTACTTCTATAAAGATTTAAAATCTCCGGAACCCAAAGGGGCAGTTCTATTGTCCTGTAGGCTCTCTATGAGGTGGAATCAGCTCAGTGGCAGTGAAGTGTCAGTACTGTCAGTACTGACCAAAGCGTTGAATTCTTAAGGCACTTAAAATGAAGCTCACCGCTGACTGCTGTAATGATCGGAGAGAAACCAGAGTCCTGTAGTATGAAGCTGCTTGGATAGCTGTGCCCCTAGGATCTCACCATGGTGCTTATTAATGCCCAATAACAAAATTACATAGGCTAGATAACCGATGGAGGGAGGGTGCATTTTTTTTAAATGACAGCTGTAAAGCGGGTGTGGTTTGGTTTAATCAGAAATGGGATTTCTGTTACAGCCTAGAGAGCATCTGAGAAACTGGAGGCGAGGTGCTACTGACCACTAGCCTTTTGAAGCAGACCTCAGCCTTAATTCAGGAGTTTTTTTTTAAAGATAATTTAATTGAGGGCTCTTCCAGCATTCCGTACATCAATTGTATCAAGCATGTTTGTACATAGGTTGCCATCATTGTTTTCTAGACATTTACCTTCTATTGAGCCCTTGGTATCACCTCCTCATTCCCCCACCCATCCTCGTGACCCCTTGATTGATTATTAATGATTATTGTTTTCATATCTTACACCGACCGCGCTTTCCATTCCCCCAGGAGTATTGTTTTGATGCAGCCTCAGAGAAGAGAACTGGGCAGTTGGTTATGGTGTTAAATGCCCATGGCCAATGACAGTCATGTCTACGGGGCTTGGTGGCCTTAAAGAGGCCATTGAGGGGCCACTGGTTTCCAGTCTTTTATGTTGACAAGAACTCCCCGTCACCGAGAAGTTCCCTGTCTCCAGAATCATTGCCTTGAATCTGGCAGAGAATCACATGCTTTCGAAAAGATACGTTAATGCCAATGAGTCCCGCTGTCCACTAGACCTATTACAAAGCCCAAAGTCGTTTGCTATAAAAAGTTGGCCTGGCCATCAAGCTCAGAAGCAACAAAGCCCACATGGAAGAAGCACACCAGCCTATGCAACCACGAGGTGTCGAAGGGATCAGGTGTAAGGCATC